TACTAGGGCAAAGTCGTCGTCGAGCATAGCAGCGTACAAGTCAGTCGTCGAGCATAGCAGTGTAGAAGTCAGTCGTCGAGCATAGCAGCGTAGAAGTCAGTCGAAGTCGAGCGCTGTGGCCTACGGTAGGGTATGAAAAGTCGAAGTAGATTGGAGGGCAGGCGTGGTGTGGGGCCACGCGGTTTTTCCCGCACCGCCTCCCAAAATTGGTAACAGTTTGTTACGTGTGGCCGTTTGGTGCAGGCAACGTCTGACAGTATCAATGCTAGCGCGGCCCGGTACCAAGCGCAGTGCCGGCACTGGCGTGCGGGACCGGTACTGGCCCTGGCGACGCTTCAACTTCTAAGAAAAACGATCAGCAGACGACCGGGACCGTCGCGCAGCAAAGTATCAGAGGGCCCCGATCGTCTGGTTGTCACAGGCAGGAACTTAGCAATAGTTATATATGTAGTGATATTATCAGCCAGTGGATGAAGTGCAATTACTTAAAAACAGCTCACACAAAAAGATACCGCGATACGGGGGAGGCGCATTTGGAGTGCGCAGCCACAGCCCCCCTACTCCCGGGCCCCGGGGAGCAGAAACATGGAGGGATACTCCCTCAAGGGAACTCAGACGGTCGTAATGGTTGAGAATTCTTGCTCAGTGGAGGAAGCCCAATGATTGGTGGCCTGCTCAGTACGGGGACTGAAGCTCACTATGTAGCACAGCAACAGAGCTCAGTGATGGCTTCCCATAACTGAGGGGGGTGGCGTCTCACGGAGTTCGATAGGACAGCTGATCCGCGACAGAGAGCAAGTTCCTCGGCAGGAGCTGGCCCAGGATTAGGATCAGATCTCAACAGCACCCGAACAAGTAACTTCAACAACAACAGGTCGGTGGTCGACTGACTGAGGGGTGGCAAAGCATCTCTTACAACCGGCTGCTAACTCTCCTACCAACAGATAGGAGACCTATGTATACTATCACTTGTCAGAAACTGTCGTGTAAGCATGACAGCAAGTAACTCAGACTGTCCTGCTATTCTATCTGCTAAACGGCAATCTATGTAGATCAGCCTGGTGGCCTACGGGTGTCCCTTCCTATGGCACTTGTCATGATACCGGGGCATACCAGCATTTACCATAGATTGTTATGCAGGCAAGAAGCTCAGATTGTTGTGTAAGCTTGGAATTTCACTTTTAGGCGGTGAGCCTGAGTAGTTTGAATTCCATTTTTAGAAGGTGAGCCTGGGGAGCCTGGGGAGCCTGGGGAGCCTGCGGTCATTACAAATGGTGATTCTGATCACACACAAGTACAATTTTCAATGTTATGGGACCCTGGACCCGATTTCCAGCAGGCGTCGCTCCCCACCAATAGATGGAGCCCCCCAGGTGACGCTAGCAGTGTCTGCTCTTATCAGCACCCCTAGCTCTAGCTCGGGAGTTCTTAAAAAAAAAAAAAAAAGAGTGAAGAATAGAACAAGATTCTTAGAAGAAGAAAAACCCAAGTTGAAACCAATGTCATCTCTCCCTCTCTTGCCTCCATCATTGACCCCTCATCATCTTCCCCATCAGCTTATTATCAATAATAAACAGCAATGCAATAATTCAACGTAAAATGTGGAATAGTCTTGAGCCATACGTCGACAGGGTACTAAGGGCCATAACAGGCGCCTAAGGCCACGCCCAAGCTACAGAAATCGCCTGCTACGAGGCCGGCTGCTGTGGGTACCCGACACACGGCCTAAATATGGGCTTCAGAGGCCCTACGCCCTAAAGATGCTGGCTTGACGCTGGCGCTACGCTGGCATTGTTGTAACGGCGATGCGAGACTGCTGTATTGCGTTGCTGGCGCCTCTCTGTGCTTGGCCCCAGCTGGGATCTTGATTGCTGACATGGTGCTAGCCACATTGTCTTCGACACAGAGTGGGACATGAGGGAGATCTATCTTCGATGACATTGATAGATACTTTTTCTTCCACCCTCTAAGTCTTATCTCCCTCCTATCAGCTTTGTCCCTTGGTTACGAGACATTGTACTTTGAATCACATCCATGATTATTGGATAATTGGAGACATTGACATGCACTGAGACATCTTGTACTTTGACATTGACGAGTTTCTCTCTTGAGTGGGTTCATTGCGATTTGGTATCAGAGCATTACCTCCTTTCTTCCGATCTGCAGTTGCGCGCTTTGGCGCGCTATGGTAAGTAAGGCAAGTGGCCGCACGTCGATTAATTCGTGTTTATAAGCGCGCGCGATTATAATCGCAAATCTAGACATTGACGTATGGATGCGCTTGCACACTTACCTGGAGACTGGATGATGACATGGACCGGTAGCATTGCTGACGTGGCACATTCTTGCTGAGGTGGCGATCAGCGACCGGCGAGAGTACCGTTGGCAGAGACACTGACGTGGTGCTGGACGATCGGCCACGCACAGACACAGCGAGAGAGAGAGAGAGAGAGAGAGAGAGAGAGAGAGAGAGAGAGAGAGAGAGAGAGAGAGAGAGAGA